CCGGAGTGGGACCCAATTCGGTGTAAGAGCGCACCAAGAAGGTCGGTCGGTGTGGTGAACACTTTGGACCGCGGAGCTTCACCACACGCGGAGAAAACATCGAAAGGATCGTACGTGTTGCAATTCGGTTGCAGACACCCTCAGCCTCAAGAGCCGCACCGGGGGCACCAGGTACGATGAGCAGGATCCGTAATAATTCGCTGACTGCGACTTCAGTCGGTCAATGCTCCAAGTAAATGCCGCCGTCTCAGGCAGGCAAAGGCAGGTGATTTTTTGCAGAACAGAACCTTTGGGAAGAAGCGTCTTAAAGGATGCCTTCAACATCCTTCCATCATAGAGTTCAACATCCCTAGTTACTGACAGATTGAGTTCCTTTTCCTTTTGCAAGTCCACAACACTGCTCCATGAAGATGGACCCTGCCATGACGACAAGCCAAGAATGTGTACAGTAGGTGCGCCTGGGTACCCCAAAATGCGAAGGGCGCCTGTTTTCAGCGCATGTCTCACGAATTCAGGCCGAAATCTTAGCAAGAGCACGAGGAACTAGAGAAAGAACATCAAGAAGCATACTCATCAGAAACCATGAGCATGAAAGCAACGTATGGCAGGAGTTACAAGGCTGTGTGGCTTTGTTCAACTGAGATTGTATAGGAAGGTGTCGAACGTCGCACCTGTTTACTGTTTGTAACTCCTGGGCTAATCGAGACTCTGGTTGTTTGCAGCCCAATCAGGGCCCTGTAGTTCGTCCCTTGCCACGGAAGTTGGTGCTGACTTCCAGGATCTCAACATGAGAGGAAAAAAGTGTGGATGAGTTGATGCAGGTGTGGCTCAAAAGCTCGGCTCAAAAGCTCTGAAGGCAGCTGCAGCTTGAAATGGTGCCTCCCAATGGATAGAACTCTTTAGCAGTATGAAATGAAGGGGATTCACTTTCTATTTGGGATCACTGTTTAACATTAAAATATATACATAAATGTAATATATATATATATTGGATAGTTCTGCAATGTTCACCTATAGACTGGTTGGGGTGGTGTGTTTGTTTCATGGCCCACAAGCAATGTACCCGGGTACATTGCTTGCAGTGTCCTGAGCGTCCCATTTTCCACCCAAGAGCGCGGAGACATATAGAAACCGGGCAGCTGAAGAGGCGTTGGGTCTTGTACGAAAGTCAATGACCAAACAAAACAGTTGGTGCACTAGCCTTCCAAGACCATTTCAAGGCAGAGTTTGTTTGATAGCCTAAGATCTGGAGTAAAGGAATACGTACATGTTAGGAACAAACAGCCATTTCAAAGGTTGTTTTAATCCGGTTTGGACGCCACCGCACCGGCAACTGATGCCCCTGCAGCCCATTTTTGTGAGAAGCATCCATCCTCCCTTGTACTTACTTGCCCTCGCTTCCAGGCATGAAGGGGGGTAGTGAAGCGGCTTCAACTGATAGGGTAGTCTCCAGGTGAGGAGGACTCCTAAGATCAACCCAGGTCGGATCAAACTGGGATCAAACTGGGATCAACTGGTCGGATCAAACCTAAGGACAACTCAAGCTGTGCCACGAAGCAAGAACGACCATGTCCATCCATCCATGGCCTCCATCCATGGCCACCGACCCACCTTGTAGGGACGGCTTTCGAGACTTCTCGGGATTTGGTGCCGGAGGAGATGGGATTGGGCCTTGACCGGTCTTCTTCGGTTTGTCAGGGATTTATGTACAAAGGTTAAACCGGTAGTCAGCAGCACATCTAAGAACAGGCAAGGTAGAAAGGGCGTGTCCCACCCTGGAAGTTCACCGGACTCACCAGGGGTCATCGGAGTCCGTGCGCTCCGGGAGGAAGACATGGCCCTCAGCGAGTTTCTCGAGGACGGGATGGGGTGGGTGGAGTGGAGTGGTGCAGTTCCACGGAAATAGATGGGTGGTGAAGTGGTGAAGTGGCGAGAACAAAAAACAGCCACGGGTGTTTGGGTGGGGTGTTGTAGGTTCTGAGGAAGTCTGCAAAAGGAATCAGCCGGTTTTGGGTTCAGAAGTGTATTGAACATAGTCATGAGAGGGGTTGAAGCACCCGTGGCTGGGTGCTTCAGCTTGGGTCTCAAACCTCGTGGCCCCGTTCCCATTCGTATCCGTGACTTGGAGTCTGGCGCCGGCGCGGGGATGGTGCACATGGTCATGCTCAGTCTCTCTTCCAGACGAAAGGTACCATGGACCATGGGAAAAAGGGGCAACCCGCCCATCCTCTGAACTTCGGTCTGACCTTGCCCCTAAAACCTAAAAACCCAAGAGAACCACTCATGGCTGCAACTCGGTCTGGCTGCACCGAGCCGTGCGGACAACACCGGACGCGACCACCTCTCCGTGGCGGGTGGGGTCGAAGTCGGTGTCTTGGAAGGCCTTGGTCCGCGGCCTCAACGGCGAACTTCCAGAGGGCTATGGGTACAAGGCAGCGCTCATGAATCGAAGGTGAGTCGAAAAAGGGATATGCCTACGAACGACCGAAGGGAAACCGAAGATCTACATTCATTGGCCAGAGGTTTGACCATTTTGACCTGGCTGTTGGTCGGAGGCACTCAACCCAATGTGTTCAGTAGCGGTTGATTTGCGGAGTATTCTGTCCTTTGGTGCAGGATCTCCCTTTGAGCTCCGACTCAAACCAAACCCTTCTCTGGATGGTGATGCGTGGGTGAGAAATGACCAGCATCCTGCCAAGCTTCGGAATGTTCGAGGTGTTTGAGGCTGATGTAGGCCGCTCCAAGGCCGACCTTTGACGGAGATGGGAGGAATTTCCACCAGACTGTTGGAGCCCCTCTGTTTGGGAGGGGAAGGCGATGGCGATTCGCCCACCCGGTTTCACGAGGGCGAAAACCACCGAAGCAGAAAGGCAACCGCTACACAAAGTGGCCATGAAGCCCAACACGGCCAGAGCCGAAGCCAGGAGTATTTTGTAGGCAAGACTCAGAAGGGCATTTTTGGTATGTTCTTGTTGAAGAGCGGCCTCCATCCCCTTCAACCAACTTCTGTTGCTTCATCTCCGAGACAAAAGCGGGGCACGAACGATTTGGCCGGACTTTTTGCTTTCTGTGCCAAAGATCTGAGGCGGACACAGAGCTCGGCATTGGATACTGGATGGAGGTGCCTGTGGTCTGTGGCTTGGGGATTCCGGTCGAACCCGCAGTGAGGCCTATTCACAAGGACATTGACCATTGTTCTGAACGATCTCACTGCTTTGAATCGTTTTGTAGTCTGCAGAATTCTGCAGGTGCATTGACAAGACATCAAGACATCCTTCGATGGGGTAGGAAGCTACCTTTTTCATCCTTTTAAATCCTTTTACGGGGTCTGCCCGCTTTGGGCTTCCAAAGAAGATGCGGCCGGCGTGACAACCGCTTGTCGCTTGTCCAGATCAAGACTGGCTGCAAAGTCGTGGAGAAACCCGTCATCGTTCCAAGTGGCCTGTCGGGCCCTCACGTTTTCGCCACGTTCACCTTGACACCGTTTCACCTTGTTGCACCGTTTTGGAGGTGATTGTTAGCGTAAAGCTTCCTTGACAGTTTTGATGGAACTGTTATGAAAACTCTGGTATTGCTAAATACAGCACTGTGCTTTGCTGAGGGACCATCATCAAGGATATCGAATCCTTTATGCCTACTGCGGCAAGGACCTGGTTTGGGAAGATTGCTGACCCCGTGCTTCAGCAGCGCATTGGCAAACAAGTGCAGATGGGTCAAATATGCAGACAGCATCGGCAGCCATGAAATCCAACCGTTTTTGGCGGGTTGGTAGTACAGGGAGCTGCAAAGATTTGGGCATGAGGCCAGGAGATGCCTGCTCCGATGTGACAGAACCCTTTGAATGAGCACATGAGATGGTTGGAACAGTACTTTGTCAGCCACGATACAAGACCTGCCCTGACTTGGTTCGGTCTCCATTTCTCCATTCTTTGGGGATGGTCTTCTCTCCAAACATGTAATTTTACAGGCAGTTTTGTTTCCTCAGCATGAAATCCCACTTGCAGAAGATCGTGATTCCTCGACCTCCATCTTCCTGCCCTTCTTCCGAACGACCGGGTCTCCTGTGTGGACGGCAGTCTGGAATGAAGGTTCTTTCGGGAGGAGATACAGTTGAGAGATTCCTGACAATGAGCAGTTTGTGATTTGGACCATTCTGAGTGATAGAAAAGAGAACTTGGCTACACTTCGGCAGGAGGGTGTGGAATCGCTGTTGGAGGGTGCTTTGCCGCCCATGCTGCCAGCCACCGCGAAGGTGCGGGTGTGCGGGCACGCGCTCGGCGCTGTCCGACCGTTATGAGAACAGGCGGAGCGATTTGAAGCGGGGGTCAATGGAAGATGCCTATGCCTGGTGCCTTTGGTAGACATTATGACACAGTCGCGAGAGATTTGGTAGACGGATTGTTTGCGAGCTGATTTTTGGTGCGCAAAAGCCCGGTCCGCAAACATTTCTCCTTGCCAAACTTCATGATCCGTCCTGGGCAATCCTGCGAAACAAGACTCACCAATTCACCCACGACTTAGAGAGTCTCCTCCAGATTTGAGGAGTCCCACCTTCTTCCCACCCAAATCGCTATCGCCATGCTCCAAATCGCCATGTTTCGTACAGCACAGGAGCCGAAGGAGTTTGCCACCCTGGAGGCCATCGCGGAGAACTTTGGCGCCAAGGATCCAAAGGCACGAGGTACGTCCGCTGACGGGCCGGAAAAAGGACCAGGAGGTGGTGGGTTGTCCTGTGGGGAGTTGAAAGGGGGGGGGTGAGTGAGTGATCGATTGTGGATGAGGTGATCGACTGAAGATGAAAACTGGTGGTTTCCTCTTGTGGATGCAACGTCCTGCAGTCATCCGCAGTCGCTTGAGTGATGGCCAACTTCTGGTCAAGGCTGCAGAGGCTCAAGTTCTTGAACAACTTCTGAAAAGGACCACAGCAAACAACATGGGCACATTTGGTGACCCAAAAGGACCCACATCACGCTGGTGATTCACCAACTTCCACCCTCCCAGCAGCCTGTTCGCACCTGCCCTCCCCCAGTGTCGGAACCCATAGCAATGCCGCGCACCACCTCGCGCGCAAACGCACTGCGCGCCGGGACCGGCCCGCGCATCTTTTCGCTCCTCCTGGTTCTTGGAGTGGGTCTTGCATACAGCGGCCTCGTGGCTTTTTGCTCATTCCAACCCAGCCAGGCTCAAGGGGCCCGAATTTCTCGGAGGGCCGAGGGAAGTGGCACGACGCTTGAGAAGCCCAAGGCCGGCAGCGAGTGGCGCCTGGGCGTGGGCCGCGCCATCGACGTGCTGCGGCGCGACGTGGCGGGCCTCTTCAGCCGAAAGCGCTACACGCCGGACTTCTCCATCTACAGCCCCGACATCGATCCTGGGACCTGTCAAGAAAACGCCCCGGTTTCGAGCGAAGAAAACGCCTTCGTGTTTCAGAGAGGAAGGGAAGAAAAAGAGAAAGACACTCCGTGAAATGTCACATGGAAGCTGAACACCCAGCCATTTGTGTTCAGCCATGCCATCCACCTGCATGGGGAGTGGTGTTCGTAGGTTTGCTTTTTCTAAAATTAGCTATATATTCTTAAAACATCAATCTACAGCATCTCCTTTTCATCCCATTTTCCGTGTCTGAGCCCATTCCGAGGAAGTCACAGATGCCAGGCTTCCTAGCTTCAAGATCAAAGGCCTCGCCAGCTACCAGCAGGTGCTTTCCACACTGCAGTGGTCGGTGCGCACGGCCTGCGACCGAAGTAACTTGGAGATCACCTCGATGACCCCACCGGTGAACAACGACATGTACCTCAGATGGCGCCTTACCCTGGTCTTCAAGGAGAGGTGGTGCCGAAAAGAATCGGAGCTGTGGGGACAAACGGGTTGTTTTTGCCCTTCCGGTGGTTTCACCTCTCCAGAAGACGCATGAATTCAAGTCGACGTGCCGAAGGGATGCGGTGGATGTGCGTCCTTCAGGACGTGCGTTCCATGCTTGGCATTGGCCATTCCTCCGGTGCCGAAGTGCCTTTCATCGTCGAAGGCTACTCGCGCTATGAGTTTGACCCATGGTCGGCCGCCATCGTCAAGCACACCATCGATATCACCAATCCGCCGATGCTCACGCTATTTCGAAGCTTTTCCATTTTTTTTGGGAGAATGTCCAACATTTTGCCCCTGGAACCATGATCCCAGGTGTTCGCATACATTAAGAACCACTCGAAAGATCTGGAAAGAGGTTTATCCTTTATTATCGCCGTCGCTGATTTTTCCGTCGTCGTCCTCGTCGTCGTCGCGTCGTCCTGAGGATGTATTTGTCGGACTTGATGGCTTCCTATGCATCTCCCTCCTGGCTCACTGTCAGTCCTCAGCTTGGCATGCCAAGTCTCAGCGCTTGGCCGGCCACTGCGACCACTGCGTCTGGCTCGCACACCGGAGCCGCCTTGCTCACCGGTGGCAGCGCTGTGGCGGGGACGATGGGGACGGGCCGGAACGTGAGTGGGTTGGCACGGAGAGCTGGTGGGATGTTCCCAGGTTTTCCCCAAGGCTGTGAGGATGATTTCGAGTGCAATGATGGGAAGGCCAACTTTCCGCTCCAGTGCTGTGAGATGCCCTTGTTGGGCAAGTTTTGTTGCGAGCCGCCAGATGACTTTGCCACGGGCGTTCCCAATGAAATGCCTGCCTATGTGCCGCTGCCCGTGCCAGTGGACCCTCTGGACCAGTGAGTCTGGGGAGGAACGTCAGTGGAGGCGCTGCTCCTTTTGGATTCGAACACCTTGTAAAACTTCTTTCGCTTGGGTTTGGATCGAACTTCGATCCGGTCTTGGACAAAACATGGAAAGAACAACTTGTCTTTGAAGTTTTCCCTTTGGTGTCTGAAAGGTATAGCTCTCACCTTGCAAGATTTTCACGTGGACGAAGCAGCTGAGTATCCGCGCCATGGAATTCAGACTCAGGCTGGTGGGATGGACATGGATAAACAGTTCCTCCCAAAGCGCCAGGACAGGTCCTGCCACTTGGGATCCCCAAGCAGGGCAGGTGAAGATTCTTACTGTAAGAATATCGTTTGCTGGGATTTAGGCTCTATTACATGTCTTTGAGCGTCCATCACTGCAGCCGTCACTGCCGATCGCTCCGATCGCCCCGGTCCTCCGGTGTCCAGGTGAAGCTGAGAGTTGGCCTCGCCGAGTTGGCAGGTTTCGGCTCGACCGCCCTTTGACGCGTCGGATGCCGCTCCGAGATCGGATCTCGGACAGGAGCCCTTTCGCACAGGTGCGGCCTTCGAAGTGAGCGGGGTCTTTCAGAGCGGACACCCGTTATGATGCTTTTTAGGGCTCTCATCGGGATTCTTTTTTGGGGCAAACAGGTGTACCTGAAAACTCGATAGAATTTGTGGCCAGAGGTCTTTGAAGGCCGCACTCCTGGGCCAGTTCAGTTCCGCCCGCGAGCATCACGTACGATTTCTCCTGCACAGCTCACGTCGTATCTGCGTCGGTCTCTCCGGGCGTCGTTTTTGGTGGGGCCATCGGACCTGAAAGTATCCGTTGGGAAGCAATCGAGGCGCTTTTTTCGGATTGAACAGGAGCGAAAGATGTTGAAAGGCCACCAAGGTGATCAACAAGAAGTGAACAACATAGGAAAAACTTCACTTTGGGGCTTTGCGGGTTTTTGTTGTCTCTGGAGCATCCTTCTAGGAGGCAAAGGTTCGCCGCGCGTTTCCCTTGGATCAGAGGCCGTTTGTCCACTCCCCATAGACTTGGCTTGAGTTGAAAAAGGCTCAGCGGAACAGCAGCTTAGCCGCCAAGCAGAAGTGGAACATTGGCCACTGTTTTGTCAAGGACCGTGAGTTGGATGTTGAGCTTGTATGTCGATCTTAACTCCTACAGAAGTTACTACTAGTATGTGACTTATTGCTTTTCTGAAACCGGGGCGCCTTGGCGCTACAAATCAGCCGCCCACGTAGCCCCAACGCAGCAGGCAGCAGCGGCGAACTCTGCCTTCTGCGTGGCTTTGCGGGTACCAGCAGAGTTGGCCACCCAGGCAGAGGCCCCCGGAGGCCGCCGAGTCGAGCCGCTTTTTGGAACGCAAAGGGGGACGCGGGGACGGGACGGGGTCGCTGGGGGGTCCTGAAGGAACTGTATAGGCAAAGAAACAAAGAAACAAGCGCATGGCATGGTTTCCAGGGAAACCATGCAGACCGGTGTTGCTTTTCGGCGCGAACATTGGCCTCCAGATCGCGTGGAGCACCCCGACCACGAGGCCGAACTGGAACGCACAGTTTTGGTTCGAAACGGACGTTGGAAGATGCGATCGAACGAAGACCTCTGACAGAAGGACGTTGGCAAGCTCAGACGCCCAAGTCCCAGCAAAGGTTGAAGAACCCGAACTAGACTATCCTATAGGTACTGCTGGTGACGGGTCCTATTTATGGTCACTTAACCTCTGTAGGTCCAAGTCCGCTCAGCGTTCGTTCTGGGGTGCGGAGAGGGGAAAGCTGGTGACATCGGCTTCGGCTTCGTGGATAGGTGTCTTTTGGAGGGAAGGCCCAAGAGTTTCCGGTTCTGTTCTGCCCCCAAAATTGAGTGGACAAAACCCACTGCAGAGGCTGAAATCTACCACTTCCCCCAAAATTGTGAGCACCAGCAAACGGAGGACGTGATCTGTGGATTGTCCGCTTCGACCAGGACCCGTCAAAAGGGAAGGGAGCCGGTTTCCACTCAAAGGGCGATTTGCTTGCGATCGAGTGGCAAACTTGCAGTGTTTCTCGTGCAAAACAAGTGTTGCTCAACACAAGGCGGCAAAGCACAGAAGGATTCTGGGTGAAACATTAAGGAATGAAACCCTAGCTTGCGAGCGATGTTAGTGAAACAAAATGAAGCAAGAACAGAACACGATTGAACACGATCCAGACCATCATTCGGCTGCCGTCGGGTGGGGTAAGGAGAGCCTGCACATGTTAGCCGTATAGACACTTGCTGTGTCTAGACAGCTCTCATGGCAACTGCATGACGTTCCAAACAGTTGAACGTTTTTTTGTTTCGCCGGAACCGCGGCGGGGTGGAAACAGTTGGATGCAACAGAACACCAGGTGTCGGTGTATAAACATGCATCTTCTTACAGGAGTGCAGATACGCTCATTCGCCGCAATCAGGGCCTTTGTTACTTCAGCGTTTGAACGAGAAGCGGGCGAATTTTGCTGGCCAGGACTTGATCACACCCTTTCTACAGGCGGCAAAAACCAAGAACGTGTGGTGCCTAAGATGGAGGTCGCCGTCGTTGGAACCACATGACATCAGCTCATGAAGATCGAGTGTATACAGCAGAAGCCGTGATCGAGTGGAGCCCAATTCAAATGATTTTGAAGATGGCTGGCATAGGCTAGGGAGGCGCCCCCAGACCAGTTTCCAACATTGGTGGACGGATAGTGGTTGAAAGGTAGATTGGTAGGTCGAACGCACTTTGCCAAGCTGAAAGCTGGTAGTGGGCCTGGTACGGAACAGAATCTGACATCCTTTTTGGATCTTCTAGGAAACCAAGGTAATTTGGCTACCTGGTAGGCCAGAAGACTTCATTGACATGCCGGGCCACACAAGTGGATCCACGTGTCCAGCGGGCTGGATACCCGCCTGGATTGTATGCATTTGGGGGTCTTCGGAGGTCATTTTGTGACCAAGGCTGCAAAGCTGGCCGCGGGCTTGAAAGAAGGAGTGAAAGGCCAAGAATATGTTGACACACCAAGACAAGCTGACGGTCGCTTGGGGTGGGGTACCACAAAGATGTTTGTTGTTACTATATACAAAGAGGCAAGAGGCGTTTTCTGTTCTATATAGACTCCAATTAGGCGTGGCAGGGGTTGGTGATTCACGAGACTTGGCAATATTTCAAACGCCTTTTCCAAGCGGGAACCCGCTGTGGAGACGAGACCCATGCTGTGTTCGACCGACCTTTTTCAACTCGTTTCCTCCGGTGAACAGGTCACGGTGCGCGGTGTTCACCGTGCATGAAAGAGGTCACTCAGAGGACGTGCACTGGACCGGGCCTTTCCAAGATCACTCAGAGGACCCATTTTTGTTGGACCACATTGGGACAAAGAAAACGACGATCTTGGGCAAGTCACGCTACACTCAGCAGCCGGAGCTGCACGTTTGGCAGGTGATGTGGTGGATGAGGAGGGCGTGAGCGCTTTGATGATGGCCGCCTCCGAAGGTGGCGCTGAGGCATGTGAGGCGCGGTGAAGCCAGACTCGGATGCCATGGCCATGGGCCATGGGGGCCATTGGAGAGCGGGCACAAGAAACAAGTCCAACAGACCAATATATAACATTATATGAATACTATAGCTATATATATAATATATATATATATTATAAACACAATATATAGTAGAGGAACCGAACAGAACTTGCGCCCGAACGTCAAAGACCGTGAAACCGTGAAGTTCTCCAAGTTGGGGGGACTATAGTCTCGAATTGCTTTTACAGGGACTTTTTGGAAGAGAAAATGGACTCAGCGAAAACATGATATATACCCCCAGGTGCGGCACAATTTCCATCAGATTCCTCGAACTGTCTGGACATGTTCCTGGCATCCAGTCTGAACAGTCCTTTCCTCGACTCCGCCAGAAGCCACCGACTCCGCAGGTGTTGCTCAAGGGAGGTGCGTTGGTGAATCATGCGGAGCGACTCAACGGCAGGAGCGCCTCGGGTGGTCGCCGAAGGATGCCGAAGATGCGAGTCGAAGCGCTGAGAGATTCGAAGAAAAACAATGGAGGGTGTGTTGAGGCAAGTACATGAGACATAGATGAGAATATTCCAGCATGCTATTCGTTTCGGTCACCACCTAGTCGAAATTCTTCGCTCAGAGCTGGGTTTCCCCACCAGGTGCCAGGTCGACAAGGTGATTGGAACTGGTTTCAGGACTGCGCTGATGTTTGCCGCCCAAGGGAACCACCTGGAAGCAGCGCGGGCCTTGCCAAAACCGGTGTTGGGATGACCGCCTCGTGGATCGAGGATTCAGCCGAGCGGGTCATTGAAGGGCCGAGTCAGGCTCATTGAGGCCTTTTGGCCTTCGAGCACCGGAAGAGCCTGACTCCACTGCCTAACCTGGGGTCCAATGTTGGGGGACATGCCGTGAAAGAGATCGAGCCTCTGCAAAAGCTCGGGCCGGGTGTCCATCTCGCTGTTGACGAAAGAAACCCTGCACCAGGTGGAATACCATTCACGCCCTAGGAGTAGTTCCTTCAACAGGATAGATAGAAGAAGAATGGACCATCACAGCGCCAAGACTTCCCTCATCCTGCAGGTGAAGACACTGCTCGCAGCGAAGGCTGACACTACCAAGGCGGGGTAGGTGTGCTGGTGGCTCACCAAATAAGACAAAGTCCGCAGGTGTTGATTTAACTATGCTATAGTCTATAGGCCAGGAGCTCCTAGTAGCGTCCTTGCTCCTCACTATCCGAGCCAAGGAGTCATTGCGACTATATCTTGTGGAAACACAGATGAAATAAAGGGAGCTTTGATGAGCTAGGCTCTTACTATGAAAGAGGTTCCCAACCAACAACCCCAGTGTCTCTGATCCGTCCAGTTTCTCTGGTTATGTAGAGTTTCCGGCCTCTCCTTGGAGTTTGAGCAACCACGAGGGATCTCTCGGGGCTTCGCTTCAGATCTTAAAGCGACGGGATCGGCGACATCGGGCGGATGGTCTCTGCCGGTCAGACTGGGACGGTCCGGACGTCGTTGGCACGTCGGACCGGGCGGTGTGCCCAGGTGGACTCTGAGGGCAACACCGCCCTGCACTGGGCCGTCGGATTCCAAGCTGGGTGAAGAACTGGATTGGCAGAATCGGGTGGCTTCTCCGAACAGACACCCGCGATCACCCAGAAAAAAAGCGATGATTCTTTCAAGAATTCCAGGTACCATGAGGATCTTGGAAGCAGAGTCTTGCCCATTTCTCCAGTTTTCGTATTACAGCCACAGGTTGGGCCTTTTTAGACCGTGAAAACGAAGAACCCACTGGTGCCAGCAAGTTCTTCTAAGCGTCGGCCTCGGACCCATCTTTTCTACATGAGCAAACCAACATCTGGGGAGCCACCAATTCATTCCCTTCCAGGGTTTAATATGCAACAATTCTATTTTTGGGGTTGAAATCTCTGGTCCCTTCTGCCGTTGCTGAGGCAGTGGCTGGTGGACTGGAGACGGCCAGATTGCTGGCCAGCCTGGGACAGAAGACCACGAAGAACGCCAAGGACGGTGAGTGGATTCAGCACATCCGGGTGGTGACGACCAAAGCATAGGCCGAAGCTCCAGGTGTTGTTGAGATCCCACGAAGTCCACGAAAGTCTGACTTCATATCTCGCCCTCCCCTTTTTGTGAAACGAGGTGGGTCAGCAGCAGTGGCCGGCCAGAAGAGCTTGATTTAAACTTAGTTCCTCACCCATGAAGGGTCAATGGTCCGGTTAGTTTAGCTGCTGTTATTGCCACACGGACTGGCACAGCAAGGTCGAGCTCGATAGAGCTCTGCACGGACTGAGACCTTGGATCCAGTGATGGCAGACATGACGGCGAAACAACGCGTCAGCACGTGGGGCA